TGGAAACATAGTGAAATAGGATAATGCTATATAGCCAAACCACGTCGAATTACATAAACACAAATATATTGATTTCTAAGAATATTTTATTTCGTTTTAAATGTATAAACAAATTTAGTAAGGGTTATTTCTAACATTTCTAAGGTAATATCGCGGCATAATTTTTTATATTTGCTTGCGATCGTTTGCACACGGACACGGAATTTCATCATCTGAATCATTCTCTTCTACGACGACATCATCTGCGTCTTGTTGTCCCAATTACCCTTCAGCTGAATTACTCTCTTCCACATCAGTGTCATATGGGAACCATGATTGTGGGAACCAGTGTTGCTCGTCTGGTTTCCCCAATTGCCAATCATCTGAATTACTCTCTTCTACGATAACATCATCAGATTCATTATCGTTTTTATCTGAACCACTCGCTTCTACATCTGTGTCATTTCAGTATTGCACGTCTTGGGAGGTTGTCGATAGGATTGCTTTTGTATATAATTGTTTAGGTTCGGTTGTAAAACGGCATTTTCCCCCAGGTAAAATGTTCGTCTTTAGTCTATATTGATAATCGGTAGCTATGACTATATGACTATATGACTATATGACTATAGGACTACATGACTATATTATATAGCTCCACGACTATACAACTATATGACCACTCACCTGTACAAAGTCTTACTGAAGATTCCTTGCGGCAAGATTAACAAGGTTCACCAGAACTTCGACATACGCACTATGATGAACAATCGGTACAAGCGAGACGTGCAATACTGGTATTCAAATGACACAGATGTAGAAGCGACTGGTTCAGATAAAAACGATAATGAATCTGATGATGTTATCGTAAAAGAGAGTAATTCAGATGATGGGCAATTGGGGAAACCAGACGAGCAATACTGGTTCCCAAAATCATGGTTCCCATATATGACACTGATGTGGAAAAAGAGTAATACAGCGGAAGGGCAATTGGGGAAGCAAGACGCAGATGATGTCGTCGTAGAAGAGAGTGATTCAGAAGTGCGTGAGTCACACCACGAGTCACCCTCATTAAGCTCTGCCAATCAGCGCGCGGTGGCATCCCAGGTTTGTTTACCTTTTACAATGCGTGAGTAATGCGTTAGTCACACCACTAGTTATGCGTATGTCACACCACGAGTCACCCTCATTAAGCTCTGCCAATCAGCGCGCGGTGGCATCCCAGGTTTGTTTACCTTTTGCAATGCGTGAGTAATGCGTTAGTCACACCACTAGTTATGCGTGCGTCACACCACGAGTCACCCTCATTAAGCTCTGCCAATCAGCGCGCGGTAGCATCCCAGGTTTGTTTACCTTTTGCGGTGCGTGAGTCACACCACTGGTTATGCGTGCGTCACACCACTAGTTAGTGCGTAAGTCACACCACGAGTCACCCTCAATAAGCTCTGCCAATCAGCGCGCGGTGGCATCCCAGGTTTGTTTACATTTTGCAATGCGTGAGTAATGCGCGAGTCACGCGTTAGTCACACCGTGAGTCAAGCTCGGCGGCGACATCCCGTACTCTGTATGGGGTGGGGTTAACTACTAACAATAGTAATCATATTTGTGGATTCTAGGATGTGTAATTTCTGCTCCTTTTTTAAAAGTATTATTTGGCCTTTCCTTTTTTAAAAGTATTATTTGGCCTTTTTGTATTAATTTATATATTTTTTAAATATTGTTTAAGTCAAAACCATATGATACCTGTTGAATGTTAGCTAAAAAGGTTAGATGTATTCATTTTTATCCTCGGACTAATGCGCACTCATAAAGATAAAATCGCTCATTGATGGCATTGATATTGAAATACAGGATATTTGTTAGGACAATGGAAATAGTGTTCATCTACAATGGAAGCTTGCACAATTCCGGTATTGGTTTGACGTCGTTCCAAACTTTTCATTTATCAATTAAAAGCCCTTCCTGTGCGACTTCGATCGTAAAATTGGTGTTGCTACAATTAAAATCAAGGGCGCCCAGAAGGGAGGCGGGGGGCAAAAGGCTAAAAGAGATCCCTGGATGAAGGGAAACGGGAAACATATGCATGTGGCATAGTTAATCTGCCACTCTGTATTTTGGGTACCTGTAAAAGAGTAACCACGTGACAAGCAGCATGCTTTCTTGAGAATTCTTGTATTCACATTACTTGTAACTTTTGTATTCAAGTAAAGCATTTAAAAACCATGCAAAATTGTAGTATCCCTTGGATCCCCCTAATTAACGTACTTTGGAAACTACGAGGGCCCTAAGCTATGTAACTTGTGCTAATTCACACAGTTTTTGTACTATGTACATACAATATTTTACGAACAATATTTTACGAAAACAATATTTTACGAACGAACGCAGCGAGTGAGTGAAATACGGTTTTTAACACGAGAAGATAAAAGTCATATCTTCAAGCCACCGTGTAATGTTCTGTTTATTATATAGTCCCAAGCAAAAAATTGTGAAATTTCACGCTCAAAAGCAAATTGGAAAAAGTCACGTGATCGATATCTTCACTAATGAAGATATGGAAAAGATCTCACTGTATATTTTTCAGTATCTCATTCTCTACTATATATAATAAACAAAGATATTGTTTCTCCACAGACACATTTTCTTTTATACATGATGAATCTTCATGATTTCTTTAATTCCAATCCACCGGTTTAATTTGTTTACAATTTTAAGAAATACTTAAAATTTTTCGGGCGGAGTCTTTCGAGGTTGGAATCTTTGGCATCCCGTAGACCTTATTCTTAACCCCGTATCCTAGGGAACGGGAATAAACGCGGGAAAACAAGCGATAGCTAGGATACGGGGCCCCGATTGCGAATGAGGCCTATAGGCTATATTTTCCCATATTTTCCATTTGAAAGATTGTTTGTGGGACAAATATAGCAAGTGGATTTTGAAGTGGAGTGAAAGGTTAAAAATTCAATGGAATGATGTTTTGTCTCAGTCGTTCATACTTAAAAGGAGTGGAATTTTAGGCGTTAGTATATATGTCAAGATATCAGGCGAAATGTTTCTATAACCATTTAGTAGAATCATAATAGTATACTATTGAAAATGCTGTAATTTGATTGGCTACTTCCTAGATAGATAGCGAGTAGCAAAACAATCATTTTCCTGCAGGCGCATTTAAAAAAAATGGCTTCCGGCTCGCGTTTTTCTGAGGTTTCTGACGACGAACTTAATTGTTTACTCTGATTCTACTAAAACAATTAGATTACTCACTCTCGATTTCTATGAGGTGATAGTTGATTCGGCCTTCGCCCTCATCAACTACACTGATGAAAAGTTGACCACCAAGCGTTTCCCTACAAGACTTGAGTGAAACCCACCTATTGCCACGGTTTGTGCATGGCTCTTCATCCATCCATCTATCCTCCCACCTTTATTTTTTCGTTCTTCATTCCTCCCCCCATGTATATAATATATATATATATATAATATATATATATATATATATATATATATATATATATATATATAA